ACACACACACACACACACACACACACACACAAACAAACAAACAAGCGCACACACACGCATTAGTTTATGTCTAGGTTACCTACAGCGTGCCACACCCTAGAGGCGCGTATGTCTCTAACAACCGATGTCTCTAACAACTATACGTACCCGCAATCAGCTAACGCAACGGCCAGTAACAGCATGCCAGCAAGCCTTGCCGTCATTTCTACACAGTAGATCATGATGCCGAGCAAGTATACGTCGCAAATTATTGATATATGTCTCTTTCTCTCTAGCACCCGTGCGCCAGTCTCTGTCTTCAATGTAAGCCAATCTGGCTTACTACTGCTGTTTTAACCGGATCGGAATCGTGTGCTTCCACGAACTATAGCTCGACGACGCGCGTCCTGTGAGAATTTCCCCAGAACCTCGGGGCGTTCCACGAACCCACCTGTTCTAATCGCTGCTCTACGTATACCCGGTAAAAAGTATTTATAGAGAAGAGAGAGAGTCGTTACTCTGTTATGCGGGACACGCCCGCGCATGCGCAGTCGTCTTGCCCCGCGATATTTTCTCGCCGAGCCTCGCTATCGCTTTTGTGATGGTGTTTAACAATGGGTTGCCATGGCATGTTGTTTACGTAGATACTTATTGAAATTGATATTCATATCGCTATCGTGTATAATATAAATTTCTCAAACACACGCTCACGAATAACGTGTTTACATATTTAACAATGCTGGTCTTATTATCTGATTTGTTGATTCGTCGCGATTACTTTTGTGCTTTCTTGCTCAAATTCTTCTTCTCATTCAAATTGTGTTTTTTTTAACTTTCTTCATCCTGGCCGTCTATGCGTTTAGATTTTCGTTTCCCTAACAGCAGATGAATATTGATCAGCTAGGTTTTAAGTCATTACAGGATGTTTCATTCTCTGCAGCAGCGGGTCAAAGATATTTGAAAGACAAACTGATGATGTGACGCAAATTTCTTTTGTTGCTCTTGTTTTCCGTTAAAAATAGTAATGTTTATATTTAATAGGAATACATAATCCAAGAAAAAAACGGTAGAGCGTAACAGTAACGGTGCCGACACATTTTTAACTATTTGATGGTGAAATATCTGCACAATGGTTGATGTCTGCTAATATATTGAACGTCATCGTTATTGAGAGACAATATGCATAACTGGCNGCGATGTCTCTAAAAACTATACGTACCCGCAATCAGCTAACGCAACGGCCAGTAACAGCATGCCAGCAAGCCTTGCCGTCATTTCTACGCAGTAGATCATGATGCCGAGCAAGTATACGTCGCAAATTATTGATATATGTCTCTCTCTCTCTAGCGCGCGTGCGTCAGTCTCAGTCTTCAATGTAAGCCTGTCCGGCTCACTACTGCTCTTTTAACCGGGTCGGAATAGTGTGCTTCGACGAACTATAACTCCCCATAAATTTCCCCAGAACCTCGGGGCGTTCCACGAACACACCTGTTCTGATCGCTGCTCTACGTATACCCGGTAAAAAGTATTTATAGAGAAGAAAGAGAGAGAGTCGTGACTGTTATGCGGGACACGCACGCGCATGCGCAGTCGTCTTGTCCCCGCGATATTCTCTCGCCGAGCCTCGCTATCGCTTTTTTGATGGCGTTTAACACCATGTTGTTTACGTAGATACTTATAGAAATTAATATTCATATCGCTAGCGTGTATGATATGGATTTCTCAAACACACGCTCACGAATAACGTGTTTACATATTTAACAATGCTGGTCTTATTATCTGATTTGTTAATTCGTCGCGATTACTTTTGTGCTTTCTTGCTCAAATTCTTCTTCTCATTCAAATTGTGTTTGTTTTTTTAACTTTCTTCATCCTGGTTGTCTATGCGTTTAGATTTTCGTTTCCCTAACAGCAGATGAATATTGATCAGGTTTTAAGTTATTACAGGATGTTTCATTCTCTGCAGCAGCGGGTCAAAGATATTTGAAAGACAAACTGATGATGTGACGCAAATTTCTTTTGTTGCTCTTGTTTTCCGTTAAAAATAGTAATGTTTATATTTAATAGGAATACATAAGCCAAGAAAAAAACGGTAGAGCGTAACACTAACAGTAACGGTGCCGACACATTTTTTAACTATTTGATGGTGAAATATCTGCACAATGGTTGATGTCTGCTCTAATATATTGGACGTCATCGTTATTGAGAGACAATATGCATAACTGGCGTGTCATTGATACGCCATTCGTTATCATTTGTCACCTATGCTTTAATAGTGACAATAATTTGTCACATATGCCTTAATAATTACAATAATTAGGCGCCTAATCCTAAATAATAACAATAGTTAAAGACACATCGTCTAATAACTGTTAATAATTATAGATGCCTTAACTAAAATATAACAATAATTATAACACGTACTTTCGTAACTAGCAATAATAAGGCGCCCATGTCAAAGTAAAAAATAACTAACAACAATTATATTAGACGCTCGTATCATAATAAATAACAATACTAAGGCGTCCGTACTTTGGTTATTAACACTAATTAGCCGACCGTACTTGGTCGTGGAAAGAGCGGGCGGATCCGCAGCTGCTGGGGAAATACACCGAGGATATATTGGCCGCGGACCTGGCCCCGAATACGCGTGTAAAATCCTACCGCCTGCGGGCGTTAACAAGAGTTAAACCGGATTTAACGCGCGAGTCACTTGCCCGCGTGCGTACTTCGATACACGCAGCCGCGCGTCCGTGCGGACGATCGCTCGTGACCGAAGTGAGCGTCTCCCCCTTCCCTTCCCCCTCCCCCAACCCCCGTCCGCCTTCTCTTCCGCTCCCTCTTACGTATTTTACCACGACCGGCTCACACGAATGCTGTCGAATTTCTAAGTACGTTGGACGACCATAGTCGCGCACTACGCGCGTACGTGCGTGACAGTTGGGGGGGGGGCAGAGGGAACCGGAGCGATGTGACGTCTGCAATCATTAAATTGGCGGCTAGTTAGAATCGTGGTTCCTGCGATCGGAGTTCCGCATCGCGAACTGCGTCGAATCTGTGTGTATATAAGATCGCTCTCGGCCCCTGTATCGGTACACACTCGTCAAGATACGAAGATCGAATAGCATCGACAACAACGCATAAGTTGATATCTTCTGAAAAGAATCGTTTCGTCTTCCTATAAGGTTCACTCTTCTCATCGACCAACATGATCCACGAAGCGACAGTTCTGCTGCTTTGCCTTTGCCTCGCACCCACGGTGCCGGCTATACCACTCGGACGTTTTAATATTGGAGGTTCACTAGGTTCGTATTTTCTGACATCTTCTTTGCATATTTCGTTAAGTAATTTCGGTGCAGAGAGAGCGTACGTTGTGTGCGCTAGTAAAGTAAATCGAAATGTTCTTCATCATAAGATATGATATTATAACATTCGACTCTAAGCACGAAATGAAACGCAGCTGTTTTCATTTTCAAGTCGATGGTGTGGTAACTATACGGTGTAGACGCAGTATACCACCGCCCGTGTTTCACGCGTCATCACGCGTGATTCGTCGTTGACGCGCTCATCACACGTGATCCGTCGTTCACGCGCTCATCACGCGTGATCCGTCGTTCACGCGCTCATCACGCGTGATCCGTCGTTCACGCGCTCATCACACGTGATCCGTCGTTCACGCGCTCATCACGCGTGATTCGTCGTTGACGCGCTCATCACGCGTGATCCGTCGTTGACGCGCTCATCACGCGTAATCCGTCTTTCACGCGCTCATCACGCGTGATTCATCGTTTACGCGCTCATCACGCGTGATCCAACGTTCACGCGCTCATCACGCGTGATCCGTCGTTCATGCGCTTATCACGCGTGATCCGTTGTTCACACGCTCATCATGCGTGATCCATCGTTCACGCGTTCATCATGCGTGATCCATTGTTCACGCGCTCATCACGCGTGATCCATCGTTCACAGGGAGGTTGCATCAGATCCGTCAGGCGAGCGACCCGATCGGCAGAACGGCGACGTCGCTGAAGAACAACTTTCTGAGCTCGTTCTCCCGTAACGCACCGGTGCCGAGAGGAACAACGTTCGGGAGAAATACGAGAGGTGGGCCGAACCAGGTGGCAGTAGACATCGTGGTGCTGCTCGATAGCAGTGGCAGCGTCGGCTCAACACACTTTGCCCAGGGAAAAACCGTGCTGAAGGTATGTATAATATGAGCGTGAGGATCGCGAGCGAGAGCGCCTCGTGCATTTATATCGGTTATTATTATTATATTGTCATGTTAATAACATTATTACGTATAATCGCGGTTAGCAGTTAGGCTATATCACCATATAAACTAGGCTTGAAGCCGAAACGGAGTTGTGCTCCACAATACAATTGACTCGCATCGATTGATAGCAATGAAGCGGTCTTGTAAGGACTGCATTCGATGCAAAAAAACACGTATGGCAATAGCTTGTCAAGAGACATCCATATATAGTGACGTTTGAATTTCTGAAATTTAATCGGAGAGAGGGAGAGCCCTATAGACATTAATTTCATCATATATGTCTAAGAAGTAAGTTCATCAAGCGGGATATCTAAACCTGGACTACAATAGTTTCTAAAGAGGAAGAAAACGCACTCAATGCGTCTGGGGTTAGATTTCACGACTGTGTTTCTGCAATTGCGGCGGTTTTGTTATGTTCGTTACGATACGCCCCTAGGACGCTGGCGGGAACGAAATATCAAATGATGCTCAACGCAAACGTGTCTCTAACAACGCACCATTTGCTCACAGGACATAGTCGAGTTTATGGACGAGGAGAATGGCGTATCATCAGCTGGGATTCGCATAGGTGGCATCGTGTTCTCGGAAACCGGAAAGACGTCGACAAAATTCAACTATCTGCAACACCACGGGCAGAACACACTCGCCAATGTTCAAGCGCAGATTCTGGCGATACCATTCGACAGTAAGCCAATAGAAAGACTCTCTCGTTGCAACGAGCCTGATGCATATCTGGGGCCGTTGTCAGAACCATCGTAAAGTTAATGCTAATGTTGATGTTAACATAACACTTTAATAATGTTAATGTTAAGTCTACTTTTAAGACAAATATTTTTGCTGGCAACAGGCTCCTGATCTTCACTCGGTCTATTCTTCTTTGTTTATTAGCGTTATTCATTCTGAAATAATTTCACGCGCGTTCGCGCATCATGCACCAGCTTCCCAGGTCACCCATTCTGTGTTTTCTCCGCATTAAATCTGGGTTTACCAACCTCGCCAATAACCTTGCAGCGCTCGTTGAGCGAGACCTTGCATCTGTTAGACGTTGCCTGCACTCGGAACTTTACAATGTTTTTATTCGATTTTTAGATGGTGGCGCCACCGCCACGAGAGTTGGTCTCCAGCAATCCCTCGATATGATCAGTACATACGGTCGGACCGGTTCACAGAAATCCGTTTTCGTGTTAACCGACGGTCAGTCAAACCAAGGCGGAGATCCGTGCTCAAAAGCGGCAGAGATGAGAAATCTTGGTACGCATGCATGCGCAAGTGGCATCAGCTAGCGATTGCCGCCATATTGAAATCGTGGTCAACTTCCCTATTTCTCAAAAGCCTTTGTTCGAATCGTGGTCTGAAATATACGACACGAAATTGGCAACAAACACGCAACTAAAATTGTTATTACCAACCTTAATGTATACCGCTTACTTTATATAATGAAGCGCTGTATGCTACCTATATAAATATATAGTGCTAAACTATATTTATTATCATAATTATTATATTATTATTATCATTATTATTAATAATTTCTTATTAAAATAGAAATGTGTATGTTTACGAAATAAAGACAGGAGATTAACGAGGACACTGTTATCGTTTCCAGGCTATGAGATCTTCGTGTGGGTGATTGGAAAGAGCCAGTCAAGCAGCGCCCAGAAAGAGTTGGAATGCATTGCCAACGACGCCAACCATATATTTAAGATCGACACGTTCAGCAATGCGGTAGAAGTGACCAAACGTCTACGCGCACTCTTTTATAACTAAATTTACAGTCGAACTGAATTTTGCTCAGTCGAATCGCTTTCAGCCATTTATACTTTTAGCTATTTATATTTCTATCGCTATTTATACTGACTAATAATGTAAAGGCATAGTCATAATCATTTGTATGTAATGGCATTTCTTATCATATAATGCTGAATATTAGTCTGTATTTGTATTTAAAATATTTGTGCGAGTCCCGCTGTCTGTTCGGTTAAACGTGCTTGATGCCGATATATCTATGTCTATCTATATATATAACTATATCTTTATTGTGAATAAATCTATTCATTTCTAATCTACCATGTATAGTCTTTTCATCTGGGGAAATATTACCGGGGTCCAATAGTTATTATAGAATGATGTCAAAACTGTAGCATCAGAAGCTTTCTAGGGGGTGGTAAAGAACGAAATTGCGTGCCCTCTTCGAGTAATAACGATGAAGTATGTAGGAGCAGAATAGGCCAAAAGAATAACTGCTCAATTACCTATTCCGTTTATGTGAGGCGGTTAAATTTTACACGTAATGGTGTGATTTAGGTTTGCATAAATGGGTAAATGGGTAAAAAGGACTATAACTTAACCGCGGTAAAATTATAGTCTTTTTTACCCAATCAGAGGCCTTGTCACACATAATTTAACCGCGGATAAATTGTTTGTACCGCCGTAACTACGCCTAAACTAAGGCCCCTGTTTGGAGAAAACGCGTGTACGTGCGTGTACGTGCGTTTACCCGCGTGTACGTGCGTGCACGTGCGTGTGCCCGCGTGTACGTGCGTGCACGTGCGTGTGCCCGCGTGTACGTGCGTGTACCTGCGTGTACCCGCGTCTACGTGCGTGTATCTGCGTGTATCTGCGTGTACCCGCTTATACGTGCGTGTACGTGCGTGTACCCGCGTGCACGTGCGTGTACCCGCGTGCACGTGCGTACACGTGCGTGCACGTGCGTGTACCCGCGTGTACGTGCGTTTACGTGCGTGTACCCGCGTGCACGTGCGTGTACCTGCGTGTACGTGCATGTACCCGCGTGTACGTGCGTGTACCTGTGTGTACCCGCGTCTACGTGCGTGTATCTGCGTGTACCCGCTTATACGTGCGTGTACGTGCGTGTACCCGCGTGTACGTGCGTGTATCTCCGTGTACCCGCGTGTACGTGCGTCTACGTGCGTGTACCCGCGTGTACGTGCGTGCAGTGGCGTAGCTAGGATTTTTTCAGCGGGGGGGGGGGGGCACTGGGGGGACCGTTACATTTTCGTGGGGAGGCACAATATATAACTTTTCTTTGTATCATACTGTTCTAACGGCATTGTTTTTAATTCAATTTTTTTTCTTATCAAGCAAGAATTTTCAGTTGGGGGCACCTGGGGAGGCACAGAAAATTTGTG